TTAGTCGATGTTCAATCGTTTAACAAATATAATTCCTAACCTAACCAGTTCACATTACCTCAGCAACTGAGTTCTATGAAACTATTCATTGAAATTTAAATGAAACCTTTGAAAACAAATGATGTGACAACTTTTCACGTAGACTCAATGTACACAACTAATGACGACAGTGAATATTTTAGTTTTATTTATAATATTTATCAAAATTATTTTAATGACTTCATTTTCCACCTGGTTTATCAATTGATGAATGATAGTTCATGATGAAATACTACTGTAATATGTTGCTTATTATTAATAATGATCACTATATTACTGCATTACTTAATCACTTTTGTAGAGCAAGTGACCGTATATATTGAATATCATTTTATAGGGTTTTCATATCACTGCATGTTGATAAATTATTCTTGTTTGTTCATACAGAATCCTAAAGAGGAATCGAAAATTTGAAACAGGGCTACTCTTCACACACACATTGTTCGTGTTCAATGATGTCATCGACATTTTTCAACAGCTTGATGACTATTAAAATAATACGCCATTTCATCGAAACTAAGTTGAGCTTCAATTATTACCATTTGATCAACTTCTTTCACTGCACCATGGATCAATTGAAAAGCGGAAATAAATTTTAAAAAATTTAACAGTGTTCGAATAAGTACACTTAACTTTATCCATTTCTATTAAAATATATGAAAAGACAACAGGAAAATAATTATGCAAAGATTATTTGAATTAAAATAGTTTCTACTCAAAACAACTTTCCTCGCCTGATGATCCTAGTAGGAATTGGAAACAACTACAAAGTGTGAGATATCGAATAATTTCAGGTACTACTTCTACTTGAATTTCAAATAATTCAATCAATCGGAATCCGTCCTGGTTTATCAACAATGTAAGTACACAATGTGATCTTAACCATCTTCTAATATGGAATGAAGGGTAAACTGGACACAAATATACTACTATCTATATTTGCGATCATACGTTCACTTTGTCACAACTGAATATTTCGAATTCAAAAAATATTAATGAGGGTTAATCCATTTGTAGCAGTTGTTTGAATCTGACTTTTCTGCTGCTAGAACGACTAATACAGAATACAACTTTTAAAGGTAGGACAAGTTGAACCGCCTCACTGTTTGCAAAACAAACACCCGAAGAAAACAGAGAGAATCCTCATCGCAGTAGGTGTCATAAAGGTGAAAAAAAACCGTGTGCATTTATGGATATTTGTGCGCAGTGAAAACAGCAAATAAAATCTTCCAGATGTCATTTAGTGATGTCACATCATCATCTACCCATTTTATGCCATATGGACACTCGAGAAATTACTTCACACATTGGTGCCATTAAATGCTCAAATAGTATCATTTCTGACTCAAGTTGATTGTGTTTGATTTCGAAATTGAACACTCCGTAATTTTCTCACTTTTCACAATTCAGCAATCAAATATCAAGTGTATTTATTAGGGAACTGATTAGGACATAAATGCATAGTGTGTTTTTGACTAAGAAACTTTTCAGTGGACTTCGTGATTATCGAAACGGTATAATTCTAGCAAAATTTACAGAGACGACGAGTAATAATCAAATTTTACAAATGGTTGACTGTATCTAGTAGTTTTTGTTTTCTTCTTCTTCGTTTTAAGTCAGTATTCACATTCGTTTCACTAGTTTGAAAATAGAATTTCAACTCACAGCATGGACTGTTGCTTCGGTATTGTTCGTCATATTTACATTAGTAGGAGCATGGATTCGCTAACGTTTAATATCTAAAAACATTTGGTTGTTAGTTTTGTTTCTTTTACATGTTAATATCTGCATTATAGCTGTGTTCATCTCTAACCGTTTTAAACAAACATTGGAGAATGTGGAGAATGCACTTTGTATTCATTATTTCACTTTATATAATTAATTGAGTCAACTATTTAAAAAAAATCTTCAATGTTTATGAAGATTTGTAAACAGTTGTGTATTTCACTTTTTTTTCAGTAGATAATGATCGCTTGTATAGTAATTTCAGCCATTTCGATAATCTTTTTGTGTTGGGTGTAGATTTCCTTTCTTTGAATGAATTCTTTATAAAGTGTCTGTTTGAAATTCTAATTGTACTATCTTTGATTACGTAAACCCACATCTATAACCTATTAACAGATGGGTGAATTGCTTTAAAGTATGCATCACTTACTGTGGTTCGTAAGATAACTAGCGAAAATCCAGAAAAACATTACAATTATTTCTTCCTACTGTATAGAACGAAATGGCGGGCTTTCGCTGGTTTTAGGTTTCTGATGGTGGTTTAGCAAGGAGTACTTGGGTTTAATTTAGCACCTGGAGTTAATGATTGAAGAATATATTCTTTAAAGTTAACAATTACCATTTCCTACACTTCTATTCTTAAACACATGTAATAAATTTACATAAAACAGTATTGGCAGAGTATGATGAATGCATTGTATTTGGTTTATTCATTTTCACCGTCTTACAAGAATAACGATTAGTTATCTCGATAACACTAGATTACATGTGTCTGTGGTCTTTGGACCAAATAACTGAGCACTACAGAGGTAAAACAATGTGACATTCATGTCGTGATCTTTATTCTTCTAAGTCGATGCAGATCGCAGGAAAAGCATTGTTTGGTAAATCTGACTAGTGAGTTGTCGGTGATGACTACTGTTTCGGAAACGATTTGATTTGCATTCTTTCGCATCTAATCTGAATGCTGAGTACACTACTTATGATTGCACTTGTGAAGTTTAAGCTGACTTTATCACTGTTTTATGTGCGACAACTTGGGTAACAGTTGATCTGTACTGAGTATTTGTAGATAGCATGACAAATTCAAGTATCACGTGATGTTTATTCATTCGAAAACGAGAGAGATCTGTCACTGTTGATATCTGGTTTCATCTCTTTTACTACTACAATCTATCATGTTTAGAGTATCAGACGCCGATTCGTAAAAATACTGCCTTGGCTTTGATAATTCACATATTTACATCTGCCTCAGTCACTTTCCATTACTTTGAGTGCATTAAGCTCCTGTCTGTTGCAGGGCTTCATTCTTACTAATTGCATCGAATCATAAGTTGAAACACTTTGAGATCATGTAGTGATCACTATCAGACTACTACATTTTGGAATTCATCTGTGAACTACCATTCATGCAAAACGTATCAATTCAGTTTTGTTTTAAATTGATTGTGATTATTTGAATTAATCCAGATAACTATTTAAGTCCACTGAAGTGCAAAGCAGTGAAGTGTTGTGATGATTTACTCACCATAGTAGTCCTAAAATATCCGTCCAATCAGTAACGTCGGAATTTATGATGGACTGAGTACATTATGTTAAACTAAATGACTAATACTACTCTTCTACTTCGCTCGACCCGTTTACATTGATAAAATATTATTATCAGAAAAAGAAACATGTTAAATAACAGAACATTTTATTCGATTATACTTCACTTGACGCGTTTGAACAGTTGAAAAATGATCCAATAAATAAAAAAAGATTTATCAAAGTTCCAACAATATCTCAAACTGATCTTGATAAAATGTTTGATTCATTATTTTCGTTTTGTTTTATTTGAACAATTGTTAAGCCTTTGGCTAGAAAACTGTGCGAAATTTGAATACCCCGTAGTTTGTTGTAGCATCAATGTAATATAAAGTAATAAAGAGGCTAAACAAGCATCACCATCAGTAAGACGAAATTTTCCAAGTGTTGCTTGACCCACAGTCATATTTAACTGAAAATGAATTCAAATATACATGAACGATTTATGATGTGCAAACGAATGATAATTAACATTACCAATTCGAAAAGTTAGATTTTTGTATAGTTTGACGCCATCTTATTCGTTTACGCATTATTATTGAGCAATAGGACTTGGAACACTCAATATTGCTAACAATCCTCGAATTATTTTCGAAACAGTAGAATGCAAGTCGCGCGAATAAATGTTTCCATAAAGGTTTATGTGCACTTGTATCTTGTGTTATTTTCATAATCAAAATTCTATATAAAATATCAATTATCAGACCATTCGAATTAGAGAATTCTTTTGTATTAATCAAAAATAACTAAATTAAATTGTTATTGTGTACTCGATTCTGAATGAATAAATCAATTTCCAAACTCCTATCTGCCAAACGAATTCATACATGTAAGTACCTTATACGACAACAAATTATTGACGACGATCAACAGAGTTGAAAACAAACATCTACAATTTGTTCGATCACAGTTGTGTTGGTTAAGCATGTTGATTTCTCTCACCATTCCATGATATACTGAATTATTGTGTAAAACCAAACTATGCCATCTTTAATCGACAAACGATTCATGATGGAGTAAATTACAAATGAAATCACAACAATAGTAATCCTCACAATTATTATTCAGTGAGAGATATTTCACTCACCAAGGTTAATAAAGTGACTGCGACTAGATCAAGTATGATTAATGAGATTTGTGCTGGCTGAAATAGAATTGAAATAATCAATAATCATATATGAATCCCAATGTATCATGGATCTCTAAACAGAGTTGTTTGAGAGTTGGTCAAGTGAATGGCAATATACTACATTAGGTAAGTAGATTATTCCTAATCACTAAACATTATTAAAATATCTGAGTTTACATAACATATCAATCGAAAAATGGTTCATACAAATGAAATCACGACAATTATAATCCATATACTTCTTATTAAGTGAAAGATATTTAAATTACCATGGCGCCCAGATAAAGTGTGATTGGTGTTAGCTGAAATGGAAATGAAACGATTAAGAATAAAATATGAATCACAATGTATCCTGGATCTCTGAATAGAATTGTTTGCGAGTTAGTCAAGTGAATGGAAATATACTACATTAGATAAGTAGATTATTCTCAATTACTAAACATTAACAAAACATCTGCGTTTTTACAAATATCACGAATCACTGTGTACACAACATTCAATTTAATTTAAAAACACATACCATACTTTTAAAATAGGCTGCAATAACAATGCCGACCACATTAAGAGTACACACGATTGTAAGAATCGTCAAAGGCCATTTCTTGTTAGTTGGTAAAAATTTCGTAAGAGAATCTCCTATTGATGTGAATACGAAAAACCATGTCAAAGCAATCGACCACGCTGCAATTTGATTTTGAATTTCCAGACACCTGAATAGCAGAAGTACCATTAAGGAAGTGATTACAGCCTGAAAAGAAGAAGAAAGTCTATACTTCGATTAATCTGAATGTGAAAGAATTATAGTTTACAAGTGACTAGGATTTGATCATTATTTCTCCTAGTGCAAAGCTTAAATTGACCTTCACTACACCACTTTTAGGAACATGGAAGCATCGGACGAGTGTATCGTCTTAGTATGAGACTTATAAGCAGTGCGCTCTAACCAAGCTAACAAGCGTGAATAGAAACGAATGTGTAAGCACATCATCGATATTCATGAAGATGATTTATGGAAATCATGTTATTTTCATAGTCGAATAGTCCCAGATTTCTAATGATGCTCTAGCTAGGATCAGTTCGAGATTTAACCTGCAAAAGTGAAAATCGATAATTGAAGAGAGTTAGTAGAAGTCATTTGCAAGAAAAATGAGTGCTCACTGGATGTTGATAATATTAACTAACAATGAAAAATACGAAAACATTTGAAAGATGCGAAAAATTACACTGCGCTCAATGAAAAATTGAATGGTGAGTTCACGGAAAAATGATTACTTCTAAATATCTCGTTCTTGTACAGAATTTAGGTTCGACCTAATGGATTACTAGTGCCTCTTGAGTGTACAAGCGATTATTTTATGCTCTCCTCGAACAGAACCGTCTGACTGTATAAATCAAGACTAGCTAGGTGAAGCCATGTGACCAACATTCATAAGATTGTATCACTATACAATTTGAGAAAATGTTTTTATTACTTCGTAGCAATCCATGATTCATCAGTCCAGATCTTAGTCGTTGGTGCACACGACCGAAGATCCTGGGTTCCAATCTTGCGAGAACCTTGAGTCGTGGTGATCTATCATTGATTAACAGATAATTTCAATGTGTTAAAACACTGCTCTCCAGAACTCTGTTTGGAATAGTCAGTTGTTTTGGTTTTTTCAATGACATTCTGCAATATTTTCGTTATTTTCAGGTAATGAACTTTTATATTTTCAACAAAACATCTCATCTTGTCTTATATAATTCAAAGAATCATATAGTAATTTCAAGCTAATTAAACACGATTTTAATTTCATATCGAATCATCTCAGGAAGAAATAACCCAGAATGAAGTTGATTGCCTTTAGGTCAAAGGTTGTTTAAATATACGGATTAAGAAAGTGATGTCGTCTTGAAAAGAAATGTGGCAGCTAGATTGTTTTTGTTCGTTTTAATGACAGTGTCGAGTACTTCCGTGAACAGACTTAGACAGAAGGTGATTACCCTCAACTCAAATCAGGCAGATTTTGAGTAAAACTATATTGACTATATTGAAAGATCAGTAAAAATATTGTTTTCAGATTTCTATTTGTAAAATGAAATGTAACGATGATTAGATGCGTTGGTCGATAGAAAATAATCGGCCCTATAAACTTTCAAATTATACCCAGTCTTAAGTGCACACAAATAACTGAAGTGATTCAGTTGGTTGGTTATATACTAGGAGGTCACGAATTACAAGTTGATTGAAAATGGGAAAATGTAGATAACAAACTTACGTAAAACAGTAACATGAATAAATTTAGTGGAAACATCAGTCGTATTTTCTTCACAAGAATCAGTAGGATTACCATCCCAATATCTAAAACGCTGAAACGGAAGTAAAAACAAAACAGTGTATTAAGTTGAAATGTTCAAAAATAATATTCTTCCTTACGCCAGTAAATTTCATTTCGAATATTAACCCGACTTAATTCAACTAATATAATCATTTTTCATATATAGGCGGAACGAATGATAGCAGACAGTAGAAAGCTGCTGGAAAGTTTCTTCGAAATCCCAAATTTTCAGTTGTATGTACTTGGATCATCACAAAGATGTCTATGTTTGGATTCAAATCCACTAAATTTCTTCAACATATATTGATCTAAATTTCATGGAACACCACAACGACTGGATAATTTGTACACATTCTAGTAATGTTTTCATCAGTAAAATGGTTGGACCGAAAAACATTCAGATCATGGTAAAACCTACTTTTTCTACTCAAACTTACTAACTATTCTTATCAGAAACTATAAGCACTTGATAAAATCAGCACTGCAAAATGTTAACTAAAAATCAAACGTTGGGTAGTTGTAATCTTCATTTGATCAACAAAAATATCAGTTCTTTTCGAAAATACACAACTTTCTAGAAATAATTCGATTGCTCAATAGACTCAAAAACGTATTCTAAATTATACATAAGACTGTTGCATTAGAAATTAGTGACGTATATGTTTGCATAGTCATTTCAGTTCAAATTATTACCATTAATTGGGAGAAGATCTCACGGTATTCAGAGAAGTATTATTTAAAATACTGCAAGATACCAATGAAGTAAATCATTGAGGCTCTACATGTAACGTATATACTAATAACAGCAATAAAAAAAAATACCGTTTTCATATGATGCTATTTTAAGAAACAAATGGCTTACATGAACACAACCTCAAGAGGCAACCAAATATTCATTCCCATTTCCTCAAATTTTGGTCTATTTATGAATGGTTCATAAAATTTAATGAACTTACATTTGTGACAATCCAAGTGTTATTGCAATCGATAACAATATTTGCAATGTGAGAAAAAGTACAATCTGAAATAATCCAATATCAATGGAATGACTTTCACTTGTCCACGATATTTTTTTTCACTTAACAAAAGGTTCTTCTTGACTATCATCATGTTTTGCATATTGAACATATTTAATAGTAGACTATGGAAGTTTTGTCAAGTATTTCATCATTTCCTTGTTTAATTTGCGAATCCGATTAGTATACAGTTGGATAGGAATTGGTATCTTGAAGTTAAATATCAAAGAGTATCGTTTTAATAATATACTAGTGATGTTTGCATCAAGTTGATATTTAAGAAAGTATTATATAAGTTGAGCCATTGAAAACGATTTTGAGCCATATCGTTCAGTGTGTAGTGTCAGATGAACAGACTTGCTGGTCATCTTCTATTCCGAACGATTGGGAAATCAACGTTAACCAGCCTACTTCAATTTTCAGTTGTAGCTTTCCACTCTCATTCAGTTTGAACATATGTAGAATGGAATCAGTTGAAGTAACTGTATTAATTGCAGTCAGAGCTGATTTGTTTCATTACTTGCATAGACAATTCATTTGTCCAGTTTAGTGAGACAATGAATAGTATTTTTTCATTTCAAACTCTTGCTAATTCAATCGATTTTTTATTTGTTATTTATCCGTAAATGCATAGATAGATGTATTCTTCAAAAATTCGTTACCACAGATCCAGTGTTATCTGGAAATCTCTTTATGTTCTATTGTTGGAGATGATTTCGCAAAAACTATTGAACTATCTTATTTGTAATGGACTGAAAATCATCGAGTAACTAATAAGAAGAAGATGTCAGTGAAACATTTTAAAATGTCGAATAATTATTCGATAAATATCACTATGAAGTGTTATTGTCGCAGTTGTTAAAATAGTGATATTGGTTTATGAAAAAAGCTTTCTATGGATGTTGACTTACTTAAGTCTCGAATTCTAACCAGTGTAACTCATTTGTTTATACTCTGAAATATTTGTTGATGAATTGAGAGAAAATTCACATTCTTGTAAGAACAATGAACAATTTGTTTAACTTGAAAGTGGCTTATTAATTAGTTTTTGAATTGCTACTAATAATTTATGCCATTATGTACATGAACTTTAAACAATAACATATTTTCATGTTGAAAAATTAAAGAATATGAATTAAACTTTACTATCAGATTGTTATATATATATATATATATATATATATATATATATATATATATATATATATATCGAATAAAGTTCATACATTTTTTGAAAGTAACATTTATTCGTTAAAAAATCCGGGTTTTGTAGCTTTTCGCATGGACTTAGTGTAGACCGTCAATTCTTGTTCATGTTAACTGCCATTGACCAAATGGTTAAGTGAATACAGTTGATAAAACATTGTATTGATGAAAAGATATACGAGATTATTGTCAGAAAATAAAATGTACAAAGTTCACACAGAATACAATGTATATATAATCCTTATATTGATCAGATGTTCATACTTGTCATACTTACTGCACATAATTTATGCTTAATTAATACAAAAACATGTTGACCTGGATTGTCACTGCACGGGAAAATACAAACTCAGTATTACATTGACTAATATGATACACTGAGAATAAAATCATTGTCAAAATTTCACAATGGGAATAAAGATAATGTCATAAGGTGCACAGAGAATTACACAGAAGCAATCAACTTGTTTGATTGTCTTGACTAATCCACAATGGGTTACGTCGATGAGAATTAAAAATACAATTTGATCAACACAGACACCATGTTAAAGGTATTTGAAGAACAAAAAGGTCTTATTATTATTTTCTCCTTTTACACCTGATGGAGCATAAGCCGTCAATCAGCATTCTCGTACCATTTTCTATGATTTATAATGTTATTCTTTCTGCAATATCTGTGTATTCCGGAAGAACATTGACGAATATGTTACACTGAGAATAAAGCTGATGTCATAGGATGTCATAATGAATTGCAGAGAAGCCATCAACATGTATACTTATCTTGACTAATCCACAAGGGGTTACGTCAATTAGAAATGAAAAGAAAAAAGGTATTTGTAGAATAAAAATGTCTTATTACATTACAAATGGATCATCACATACACTATGTTAAGTGTGTTTGTATAGAATCAAAGCGTCCTTTTTATTATTATTTACTCCTTTTAACCCTGATGGAGCATAAGCCGTCGATCAACTTTATCCAA